CTATATCAAAACGACAAGATACTGAACTTTCAACGGGTGGAAATCAACCAATTTGGTTTTGCCCACCCTGCCCTTACACTATTTAAAACCACCAATGGTGGAAATGTATTTATAAAAAATAAAAAAATAGTRCCTTCGCTTTCGSAAAATTTATAGGTACTRAAATGTTTCGTGACACCACCACTGTCTCTATTGAACAGTGATAGGACGTGTGTTGACTTATAAACTCTAAAAAATTAATTTAAAAAATGACCRATAAAATCTACTCAAATAATAAATGAAAAAAAAATATATAACAAAAATATTCTAATTAATTTAATTCATATTTCGCCGTTCCACTGTACAATTAAAATGTATCTGATGCTTTCAAACAAAATACGACGACGTCGATGTTAAATGGTTAAATGTTGAATTTGTAAAACACTTAAAATGTTTGTAGGATGAAACACTACTCTCGACATCGACAGATGTTATGAGTGCATACTTGAATTATAGATCATGTCGCTGGTAGTTTGATCTTATGGAAATATCTTCTTTTCTTCTTATATGGTTTTGCATATCTAGACTTTCAGAGCTGATGTTAATTACAATTTATTTTAGTCTATTATTCTTCAAAATGACATTCTCCAATTTGGTTGCTATTKTTTGTCCGATTTTATTTTGGGCCACACGTGAGACTGTCAAAAATGCACATCGATATCTATTGTAAGTAAAAATACGTATTGGTTATTATGACAAAATATTTCTATTTTTAAAAATTCAATACCTTTACAATGTATTGTTTTTTTCGTTATGCGGATGCGTATATAACACATTACGGAACGAGATTCACATGCAACTAAATGTCTTCGTGTCCGTTTCCCGAAGAGTCATCCGTATTATTGAATACTGTCGAAAACTATGATCAAAAAATGTAGTTTCGTTTCACGAATCGGATGCAATTTCTATATCCATCTCACGAAAYGGATGTGACAGTCGAGCCTGATCACGCGTTTGCAGGAGTTGTGCGTTGGCGTTGAACACTTGTGAAAAAATTAAATCATAATATAATAATATGTATATTCCTGTTTATTATAACTCGATGCGTATTTAACGTACAATTTTATAAGTAAATTGATTTTCATATAATTGTAAACAATATTAATTTGATACGTGCTTAATAATATATTTACGTAACTATTTTTGATTTGTTTTTTTTTTTAATTTTCAAGAAAAACTTTTTTATTGTGATAATGTATATAATTCTTTTAGAAAGGCAAAACAACACGGAGATATTAGAATTTAATATTCAAGTCTATACATTATTTAAATCGAATATCATAATAATTACACGATGAACACAAAAACTAATGATACGTAATTATAACGTCAATATAATAAC